GGTGGCATCAGTATTCTTATTTGAGAGGACATCTCCCAGAAGATCCTCCCAACCATAAGCTCCAGAGTATTCCTTGGGCAGTAATTGACAGCATTAAGATACTCACTACATAACACTAATCATACTATCATAGAACAGTTTGGGTTGGAAGAGACCTTAAAGATCATCTAGTTCCAGCCCCCTGCCATGGGCAGGGACTTCTTCCACTACACTGGGTTGCTCAAAGCCCTGTCCAGCCTGGCCTTGCATACTGCCAGGGATGGGGCAGCCACAGCTTCACTGGGCAGCCTGTTCCAGTGTCTCACCACCCTCCCCCATAGTGAAGAATCTCTTCCTAACACCTGATCTAAATCTCCCCTCTTGCAGTTTAAACCCATTCCCCCCTGTGCTATCACTATGTGCCCTTGTACAGAGCCCCTCTCCAGCTTTTTTCTAGGCTCCATTTAGACATTGGAAGACTCCTATAAAGTCTCCCCAGAGCAACCCCACCTCTCCCACCCTGACTCCATAGGAGAGGTGCTCCATCCCTGTGATCATCTCTGTGGCCCTTCCTTGGAGTTGTTCCAACAGGACAATGCCATTCTGTTGGTGGCCCCAGAGCTGGATGCAATACTCCAGGTGGGGTCTCACAAGAGTGTAGAGGGGGAAAATCACGTAAGATGCTAATTAGTTCAAAATCAGTTATTGATATCAAGTGTGATAGCTTTAGAGGGCCTTCTCTAGAAGGGAAGAGACCCATTTAGGGAATACATGTGTTTTACTAAAGTCCTGGTTCTATCAGGAAAAGGGTGGGCATGAAATTACTCTATTAGCTCTGCAGGCAAAATAGTTGCATTAAATGCCTGGACACTGGTAGGACTTCGGTGTGACTAAGGCACACACAGCACAGCTAGATGAGGCCACCACTGCTTCTGGGCATGCCCAAAGAACAGGTCTCGTGTAGTGTGTAAGTGTAAACCCCTGGTGACCCTCAGTACTTCCAGGGACAGGAAAGCATCTGACCAGAGATTCGGTTTATTCTTTTTTGGGGTTCGTTTTTTTTTTTTAATCTTATGCCTCAATTCTGATAAAAATTCAGGTAACAGCACAACTTTCCTTTGCAGTATCAGAAGATAGGTACATTTGAGGGGAAGAAAAACCTAAAACAAAACTGTGTTAAAAAGAAACTGACTGGAAAGATCAGAGCAAATGAAATATTTGGATGGGGAAGGAGATTCCTATACTAATAGTGATTTTGGACATCCTACCCTTACCTTTGGGAGTCTCACATTCATGACCAGATATGTTTATTGTTAAATATTTAGAATATTTTGCATATTTCCAGGTTGCACATACCCCACATACCATGATTAGTGAGTTAAGTTGTATATTGATGTGTTCATTACTGTCAAGTTTAAAACTCTATTGAACAAGTGCTGAAATTCACCTCATGCAACTTTTATGCTAGAAAACTGCATTGCTTAAACAGTTACCCAAACTGAACACAAAAAGGACAAAGGCCAAAGGAACTTTCTGCAACTTTCAAAACATCATTGAAAGCTGTTGTGGAGTTTGGGTTTGGTTTGGTCTTGTCTTGATTTGATATTTTTTTCTTTATCCTCAATCATGTGTACCTTGTATTTAGTAAAACCAGTGGATAAAGCCAGAGGACTGAGTGAAATCTCTATCATAAAAAAAACTGAATATCCAGATGTGGTTTTTTACTTAAGCAAGCTGCAAATATTGTATTTCTACTCTGACACAAACCCACACTGAAAAAAAGATTACATCATCTTTTGCTATTCAAGAAAGCACTCCTCTAGTTTCATTCTGTCCTCACACCTAGAGTAACCATTCTTCTTTTAATATGGCTAACATATATTGCAGATAATTGGTTTTCTCATAAGAATTGAATATGCTGAATTATATTTGGGACTTATTTTTACCCCCCTGGTCACAGTGTGGTGTTATCTCTGCATTTGAGCAGAGGCTGAATCCTGCTTTACATCAACAGTAGATAGTGATATGGTTTATGTTGATCTTTTACTCCTGTAGGAGTTTATTGGTCAAATAACAGCTTTTAAGGAAGAAGACTCCAAACCAGGCCCTGTACATGGTACCATTTGTGGCCTCTCTGTCTGGCGATAATATTTCACCTTTTTTTCCACTGTGTTTTGCTTTACTTTTTGTACCTGCTGGAGTTTCAGCCCCTCAGGAGACACTCCACAGAATCTGTTGCTTAGTAATAATAATCTTCATGGAAATTAGCTTGAACTCAAAAAGAACGAAACATCTTTCATTAGTCACAGGTTTTCAGATAACAAATTCCTCAGAGTAAGTTGATTAGAAAAGCCAGCCTTCCAGAGTCAAGTATCACCAATGTTGACCTAAAATGAATTACCCTCTTGAAAGTGCCATATCTTTGTACCTCTTATGTTTGAGATTCTTTTTACCAAATACTCAGGCTCACCTTGACAATGACACTACTAATGTGAAGTTTCATGTAATTGGAATCAGCCTCAGAATAAAGCCAGAAAGAATTACTGCTGCCATATAGTCTGGCCTTTTGTATAATATAAATCATATGAATTAATTATTGTCCTAACAAAAGCACCACTTAAAAAAAAAAAAATCTCATAGAATGCTTTTTAAATTATTCTTTTTCATTAAAGACCTGCTTTAGTTAAAAGAATTTGTCACGTGATTAGAAAGAGCAGTTACGGGCCACAGAAGCACCAGAAGAGCAGCAGACCCCCACCGAGAGGATCAGCTAGGGACCTGCATCCTCTGTGCTATGAGATTATGCATTTCTCATCAGGTAATCCCTGAACAAAACCTGAAATCCTCAGCTAGACAGTTAGGATAAACTTTGAGGCTTCCAAGTTGCCCAGATTAGTAGGCTGCAAAGTCAGGCCCCCTCAAGTGAGTCCCTAGGCTTCTTTCTTACTTTCCATTTAGTCTCACAGATCTCTCAGCGCTCCCTCTATGTAGGCTAAGAAAACAGACAGGAGAGAAGCTCAATCTATGCAATGATGCCTTATGGATTTCTAAATTTGAAATAACAGAAACAGAATAATTACCAGAACTTGGAAAAAAAAATAAATAAAAAAATCATGCTAGAAGGCTGGGTAATTTTAGAAGTGACTATAAAGTCTTGTCTACACTGGAACATGAGAAATCAAAACCCAAGTAATTAAAGGTACAAAAGTAAAGCATTCTAGCTGAACAACACTAAATCTTGTTGTGGATGCTGTTACATAGAAGCAAAACTGTCTAATTCCTTCAGACAAATTGGCTCAAATTGAGACCAGTTTACTTTTGCAGGATATAATACATATCATGGTTAAAAGTGCAGGTATTTTGTGCCTCTGGTCTACAGAGCAGTAGAGGAAGTGAATGTTCTAAATGCACACTCTTGTTTCTAGTGCAGTTATCACCAGAAATCATAAAAAAGACTACAACTGATCAGTGCTGCTGCCTATGCTATAAATAAGTAAAATATCACAGATATATCCCACCATATACGTCTGCTTCTGCATATATCCAGAAAAGCTGCAGCACTGATGGCAGTGAACAATGGAATGCCCTTCTGAAACCAGAATTTATAAAATAAGCTTTACATTATCTACATCACATAAGAAAGTCCATCCATCTCTGTCTCTGACACACAGCCTGGCCCCAGTAAATCAAAAGGAGACACTGTTAAATTTATCACAGTTGTGATTATACCCCTTTGGAGATCAGATTAACAAATTATTGTCATCTCTCTCTAGACCTTCTCTTCCGACAGACAGGGCAGTGTTAGTGGAATTCCTACTCATGTTGGTGAACAGCTTTAATTTTATTTCAGGTCAACCACAGAGGTTTGCAGTATCTACTAAAGGCAGAGCACCAATTAAATGTGGAACATGTCTCATTATTTGCTATGTTCTGCACCCACACACCAGCAAAGCTGCTTATATAGACATAATAAAATAAAACAGGAACAAGTTCTACTTTGATATTTCTGAATACTGTCATCTGCAGTACTGTTAGTGATGTGATATCAAGCTACATCCGCTGTCATATAATAAAGTAGAATACAACCCAATATTCTGTGCATAAAGTATTCATAACTCCCTCTGTAGAGGGCACTTGACAAGTATCACCCATTACAACTCACATTTTCCTTCAATACACAGCTCTTCGCTCCACCCTGCCTGATATCCAAGCAGAGTGGTGGCTATCTTCATTTTTGTTTGAGCAGTCTCTATGAAATTTTGTCCTGGTGGATGCTAACTGGATGGTGTGCCACAGAGGCACAGATCAGCTAAAGGATACTTATTCAGCCATGAATTGGCTACGGACTGTTGTAGCTCTGTTGCCAAAAGAATAAAACTTGTAATTCTGCTAGGGATTAAACCAGAATCCTGCACAAGCACTAGTGGCAAATATACATGTTTCTGTAACTCTCTTCCCTGACAGCCCTAATCTTGTACCCAAAGGTGGTAAAACTGTTACAGATGGTCCAAAATTGTACTCAAGATGGGAGGGAGTGGCACTGGCTGAAAGAGGTTTCCTGGCTCTGCAGCTTCTCCAGGCACTTCCACCTCTTCCTGCCACTGGCATCAGTATCTCCTGCCACCAGCATACTTGCTGCGACACAGCAGCACAGAAAGCACTACCTTGGGGAGGGCACCAGGAGGGGAGAAGGGATTAAGAAGTGGTTGTTGCAGAGGTAGGGGGAAGGAGTCTCAAAATTAGGCATGTGGGCAGCCAAGCAGAGCCATTCCTAAGCAACTGGAAACATGCATCCCCTTCAGGCATTCTTTAGGGACATGTCTTGACCCTTTATCATTTAGAGAAATTACTCCAGCAGGATATTTTTTAAATCATTAGCAAGCTGAAAACTTCCCCAAAACAGCCAAGATGCTGAACATTTTTCATTCTACTAATATAAGGAATAATCCATCACATACAAACATGCAGCACTTGAATCATAAAGGTCACTGTCTTGTGCTGAAATGAATCATGCCATGCCGTACCACTGCCTGTTTTATTTATTGCACAGTAAGATGATCCTAATTACTCAGTCATAGCTCAAGGTAGTACACCCAGTTCAGGCAGCATTTTTAGGAAAATTATTTTCTTTTTAGGCTCTCTCTTTTCCTGGATGTTATCTCATTTGTTTTAGATAGACTGACACATCTCTACTCCAATATCTCAGAAGAGAATATTCTGTAAATTCTTTATACAAGAAACATATTGGCTTAAAGAAAACCATCTAAATCAGGCAAACAACCTTTCTTATTTAAGATATGGATAAAGTGTTTGAAACGCTTAAGTTGGACAATAAATCCAAAAAGCCTGCAAATGCACAAAGATAGAGCAATTCTATAGACTTTTGCTACATTTTTGGAGAATGTTAATGTTTATTTTTTCTTTTTTGTTTGTTTCTTGGGTATTTTCACAGGTGCAATATATACAGAAAAGAGAACGCCATTCTACTTAATAGCTTGTTTTAAAATAGTAATTCAAGTTTCTTCACATCAGAAAATGACTACTCCTCAAAAAAATATCAAACCAGTTCATAATGGCAAAGTAGTGACTCCTGGAAAACTGAACTTAGGAAATTTCTCACCATTCCAACTGCAAAAACTTGTACTCTGAATTTTTATTTTTCCACACAAAATTAAATCAAAATCTCTTTCAAGGAGGGCATTGTTGAATGATTTGAGAATTAAAAACCTCAAACAGCTCCAGAAAGACCACTGAAATCTTCCAGTTGTTTATGCATATGTCCAAATAAAAGAATCTATGAAAGCATTAAGCACACAAGTGAAAAAAAAAGTAGTAACAGAAAGCAATAAGAGGCAAAACAAGTTTCTCTATATACATATTTTTACATGAATAACAAATGTCAAAGATACACAACTGAGTACAAAAGAATCATTTTAGCAATCAGTTTGTACAAATGAGTCTTGTGTAAGCAGCATGCTTTAACAGAATGAATTAAACTGCAACATAATTGAAAATACATTCATTTCAATCCTCCAGACCAAAGATTTCTGAAAATATAATGGCAGAATTACAGTTTAGTAATCAGTATAATTTTTGAAGAGGAAGAAAATTATAGTTCCCCAGTAGAATCAGGAAGGATCAATTTCAGTTTTAAAATCGTTGGTGTTGGTCAAGCCCACCAAATGCCTCAGTAGCCCCAATCCAGCCAACACATGTGTTTTAACATTACAGATAGCCAGGTTATGGTGATCGTGGCAGGATCCCAGACAGCAAGACTAAGCAGTTTAGCCGCTTCCAACTTGGTCCTAGGACTTCAGCTGTAATTAGCAAGGCACTGCTCTAAAGACCCTATACTAGACACAATAGCTCAAATGGTTCTGTAAACACATCATTACCCTGGGGATACTTCTATGCTACCTTGTTTCTTTTTTTCTTGAACACCCTTTTGTTCACTGTATGTTCTCATCACCTCTAAAACCCCCTAAGTGTGAATATTGTATCACCAAGTAAGTCACCTCTGAATCTGGGCCACTCAATTTGGGTTTCTTTTTTCCAAGTATCAGCAGATGCAGCTCTGAGTGGAAACCCTGTTACAGACAGTGTAAACAAGCACTAAATTATCAAGATAAATTAACCTTCTTTGATGTTTGCAATTTCTACTTCACAACCAGTACTTATCAGAGATTATGAAATCCCAACAGAATGTTTTCCCCTCCCCTTTCAAGAAAGTAATTTCACTAACCTTCCTGTATTACTCATCTTCTTTACTCTTTGAATTACCATGTTTTACAACATTCATTCAAACCATTCACATTATAGCTCTGGAAGACAGCAAAAATACCTGTTCCTGCCATCTTAGACAGTGTATGCTCTCACTCTATTACATTAGCTGTAAACACAATTTTGCTGCTTTCAGAGAAAAACAGGCATGACAGCACTGGAACAGAAAATCCATACTAACCAGGTCATAAACTTCTGCTATCAATGTAAATGTAATGGAGAAATAAATCTATACGGCAAAGACAAGCTAAAACACTCTGGTTTACAGCAGAACTCCTTTAGTGTCTCTCATTTTGATGAGAAAAATCCATACCATGATCAGTGAAGTTGACAAGGAACTTACAGCACACGTATCAATAGCACCGCCACTGCCTGGGTGCCTTTACATGTAACCCATAACCTCAGCTAGCAGCTTTAAAAAAAAAAAAATTACTAAACTCAAAATTGTTCCTATTATACTCTTAAAATATAAATATTGCCAACACTTTCACTGCTTGTTGTTGGAGAAGAGAGATAACTGTTTACTTAGTTCTTCACTGAAGACCTAAACAAAATCTGGGCTGTAAATGCTTACTTGACCTCAGAAATTAAGCAGTCCTTGGACATCCACACAGAACAGGGCACCTCCTTCATACACATAGATATAAGCATGAAGGAAATGCCCTGTACCGTGTAGATAGATAGAAATGGGTAAAATTGCTATTACTTCCTCCCCTGGTACAACAACAATGAAGAGGTCCTCATGCTTTGGGGTACTGAGTGACAGATAGAAGCAAGAGAAGCTCAAACCCTGGCTGATAAATTTGGTGTATATTAATCCTGTTCTGCAGGCATTCTTCCCCAGCCTCAGAGCAACTGGGGGGGGGGGGGGTCGGGGGGTGGCACTTCAAAGCCCAAACCTTAGTCTTAATTTTACTTGCCTTAAATATCTATTTAGCAGATTTAAAAAAAAAAAAAAAAAAAAAAAAGGCAAAAAGCTGAGTCCAGATTGCTATCATCAAGGAAAACCTTCTCCTTTCTGCTTTCCAGGCAGGTACTGAGATAGCCTGACATTAATCATAAGGGTGATCTGGCATTTCAGGGAGAGAAGCTGATGCCTAATAGATGATAACAGCAGCGTAAAATTTTGAGGCAGATAACACTATGGAGGAAAAAGGGCAATGAAAAAAATCAGCGTAAAGTAGGATGTGGGGAAATTGGGGAATTCAGCTTGCATCCACAGCAAACACTGCTGGCCAACTGTTATAAGGAATAATAGCTTTAAACTGAAAGAGGGTAGATTTAGATCAGGTATTAGGAATAAATTCTTCACTATGGGGTGCAACAGGTTGCCCAGAGAAGTTATGGATGCTCCATCCCTGGCAGTGTCCAAGGCCAGGTCAGACAGGCCTCAGAGCAGCGTGGTCTAATGGAAGGTGTCTCTGCCTATGGCAGGGAGGTTGGAACTAGATGAACTTTAAGTTCCCTTTCAACACAAGCCATTCTACAATTACCAGTTCATGGTTTTGGCCTAATACTTAACCAGGAAAAGAAGCTGAAGATTTTTTTCCCTGTAATTACTATGAAGACTAAGTCCTAGTCTCAAGCATGTGCTATCTATTTGCTGGTTTACTCTACAATTTCTAATTCTATCCCAATGAACACCTGACAGCATGATTTCAGAGCACAACTAGCCTTACATGAGCTCCAAGAAGAAACAGCGTTATACCAACAGAGTGTAAATTGCAGGCCCAAAGTCACAATTTCAGATAGGTTTTCAGGCGTACCATCAGGTTTAGATAGCTCATAACAGCCTAAACTAACAACTACAACCCTTTCCCCAGGATAATTTTCACACAAACTCTATTTTTCTACATTTTATGTTAGTCTAAACCTCCAGACATGGTATTTTCATCCCTTTCTTTCCCTTTCCTTCCTCCATTTTTTCCTTCCAACTCCCCTAATAACTGAGCAGTTAATGTTACATTTGATACTTGTTAGAAAAACAGTGAATCTGTGACTGTAGGTGTAGCTATACCAACATAAATTGCCCTCCTAGAGCTTACACTGGTCTTTCATTGAAATTCAGCAATATAACAAATAATGATAATAATACCCCTTCAATACAGAACAAAATATTCCAATGAACAAATTCTATAGTAAATTTTGTAAAGTGCACAAAAATATTAATGGAAGTATTAAAGTAAAGAGTAAAAAAAGGAAGAAGTTTTCTAGTGTTACCACGAAAACTTCTGAAATATTGTTAAAATTAAATAGGAATAATCTAATGAGACTTTTTGGCTCCAATATATTGGCAGACAGCAGCAACATTTTTCAGAGAAATTACACTAACTAAATACACTGTATCTTAGCAGCATAAAAAAAAAAAAAAGTCTCTACAATTAGATGCAATTGCAGGCCTAGCAAGCCTAAACCTGTCAAAAAGTTACAAATGTATTTTTCATTTAAAAGAATGGATTTCCATGGAATCCTAGAGGTAACATTTGTTATTTTGTTTACTTGTATTCTGGTAGTAAACTCAACTATAACTAACCACTTTCCCTCCCTCTATCTTACCTTCCAAAATTGCACAGAGTACTGGGAAAATTAAGTAAGTTATAAGATATGGCCACACTGAAAAAGCCATATTAAACAAAATAAAATTCAACCTAAAGCCTAAAAAAAAAAACAAACCCAGAAAATAACAATCATTGTCAAACAACTGCAGCTTCACACTACCGACCGATGCTCCCCACACACATAGATGGCACTCGGTCGAATGCGCCGTCTTGTATGGCCAGGGAGCTGTGGCAAAAACTTGAAGTATTTGGGCATCAAGTCCAAGCATGCATCATGAAACTTCTTAATCCTCCAGTAGTATATCAGTGGGTTCAGTGCAGACTTGAGGTAGCAGAGCCAAAGGAGCCAAGTGCTTATCTCAAAGAAGTTGTGCTTGTAGTAGAAGTGGCTGTTGAATGTGGCTATAAGGCTGTAAGTGGTGAAGGGTGCCCAACAGACTATGAAGACAAGGAACAAAATCAAGATGGTTGTGAAGGCACGAGTTTTAAAGCTCATATCAATATTCATCTGAAAAGGTCTCTGTAAGCTCATGAGACCAAGTTTGCTGGCCTGGCTGAGGCATATGCTATCAGGGTGGCTATGGATACGAACTGCATTGTGGCGGACGGTGTTGAGTATGCCCATAAAAGAATATAGCATTACGAGGAATGGAATAAAAAAAGAAATTAGCAAGATAACTATCACATAGGCTCGGTAACCTGGGCTTGTCGAGTAGCCAAAGACACACTGAGGTGCTCTTGAGGGTATCTGCAGATTAGGATTCCCTACTGATAACGGAAAAGCAACAACAAAAGAAGCTGCCCAGGAAAGCACAATGAGAATCTTTGCACGGTAAGGGTTCAGTTTATCTTGCCTCTGAACTATGATAAGAAATCGGTCAATACTAATAATAAGAAGAATGGCTACCCCCTCTATGACAAAAAGCCAGAAGAACATAGCAGAGACTCTGCAGAATATATCCCCAAAAATCCACTGAGTGGTAATGATTGTTACCAGAGCAAAAGGCATGTTCAGCACTGCCAGCAGCATGTCTGCAAAAGCCAGGCTTGCTAAGAGAATGTTAATTGCAGATCTCATAGCTGCCTTCTGGTAGACCATGAGGCAAACAACAAAGTTTCCAAGGAAAGAAACCAACAGGATAAATATCATAGCAGCAGAAAGAATAATCTGGAGTGGCAAACTCAAGCTCCTGAAAACTTCCTGTGATGGCAGGATAGCTGTAGCATTTACCAGAAAAGTACTTCTTTCGGTGGCGAGTACAGCACCTGAACCATATCTCGACGGCTGTGTTGTGCCACTACGAAGCAAGAACTGCGGAGTGGTAAAATTCGTATAGGCATTTTCATAAACAATAAAAGTAGCATTTGAGGTCCCAGAGTGGGCCAGTGTCAACATTGCTGAGAAAACCATTGCTTCAGGAGAAATGAAAGCAGAACCAAAGGTCTTCAAGGCATTTCATCTTGTTCAGGCAGTATCCTATTCCTGGTCATTTAACAAATCAAAATTCAAAGTCTGAAAGCATCAAAGTTCTTAAATTTGTGTCAGTATTTCCATCTGCAAAAGAATGGAGAAACAGGATAAATATTGCAAAGTGGACTGTATACGGGAATATAAACCTAGGTTACACCTTCATTCAAGGAGTCATGGTACTAGGGAACAGAAATCTGGATAAAGAAATAAAGAAATCTGAAACCAATGGGAACCAAACAATTGCTCTGCTTTCCTTAATGACAAAGGGTTCTTTCATACATACTTACACTTCAGGTCAACAGAATTTACTTAAGCAGAAGTCAGGGGAGTCTCATAATATTTGGTGGTTTTCTCACAGATCCTGCTCTGGTAGTCTTGCTGATACTGTACAATACTCTCACTCGCTGACTTTTTTCTACCATAACCAGGACTGGAAAACTTTGTTTGAAAACAAACTTAAGTGATGAAGAGAGAATAAATCAAACCAGTATTGTTATTTAAACCTCATAATTTTTAAGCTAACTTCATGATTTTGTTATGAAATTGCCTATAGCTGGACACTTTAATATTTCCAAACAGCTTAAATAATATCAGTATCGCCTATCTGCCCGTTTGGTAAACATGGAAAAGCCTCCCTGTCTGAGAAATCCTAAATAATACAGGATCTTTAGTACCATGTCAGTCAGCTGCAGCAGATGCCTTAGGAAAAATATGTAAAGCATCCTAATCTGTTATTAATTATTAAATAACTTGTCCACAGGATTAAAGTATTTCTCAGTTTGTTTCATTTAGTTACTGCCTGATCTCAAGGTGCAGGAAACTAGCTATTCTTCAGTTCCTACAATCCTCCCCCCTTCAGCAAGCTTTCCTGCTTTTGCTGGTCTACACATGTCTTTGTTAATTCATCTTGGTATTCCACATAATTTAACGACATGCACACTCTTTTTCCTTGTAAATCTAATCCTTTGACATTCTGCAGAACTTCCTCCCTCCTCATTATACTGATACAATCAAACATTTCCTTTTATAGTTTGTGTACTGTTTTGTTGTACTATTATCATGGCTATTGTATTATGACATGTACTGTTCTTAGAGACAAATAAAATGCAAAGGAATTGTCTCCCCTTTTCAGTGCTACTTCCTCTCCTCTGTCTTGGACTATTAAATTAAATGCTCCCAGAGTACTCTGGCACCTGATCAAGCAGGAAATGAGAAAGATTCAATGCCCACAGCCAGAAACCAAGTGGAATTCACCTCATTCATTCTGGATGACTGTAACAGTCACTTTCAAGCTGTCTTAGTGTGTTTAGTCAGGATTATAGGCATCTTCAGAGGGCAATCTATCTCCTCCATCTCTACACATGGTGACCAAGAAGCTTATATCTGGCAACACAAATCCTGCCCATATTTATGGAGGTTCTGGGTAATACTTCACCAACAAAGAAATGGACTTTAAGACAACAAAGTCCCCAGTTTGGACTTCTAGTGATCCAAATGCAAGCCTGTCCAGACTGCTGCCAAGATTTTATCAAGGAACAGCAGCACTATGACCTCCTCTCATTCCATAGAAAAGCTATTCCCTTCTTACCTGCAAGCTCCTATCAACTAGATGATTTCCAGGGCCAGATCATCTGCATTTTTTCCAACAGAAATTATTAACCACTCTCTCACCAAAGCAGCTCTACCACTCCCCCTCCTCGGCTGGACATGCAAGGGAATGGCTCATGGGGAGAAATAATGAAATGGAGAAATCACTCACCAATTACCACCACAGAAAAAAAAGGACTTGAGTAGGGAAATTAATTCATTACCAATCAAAATCAGAGAAGGCTAATGAGGAAAAAAAAAAAGAACCACAAACTAAAACACACCCCCTCCTCTCTTTCTGTGCTCAACTTTATTCCTGCACTGGGAGAAGAGGGATAGGGGTTGCAGTCAGTTCATCACACACTGTTTCTGCTACTCCTTCCTCCTCAGAGGAGAGGACTACTCACACTCTTACCCTGCTCCAGTGTGGGTTCCTTCCATAAGGTGCAGCTCTTCAGGAACAGACTGCTCCAGCATGGGCTCCCCATAGGGTCACAAGCCTTACCAGCAAACCTCCTCCAGTGTGGGCTCCTTCCTCTATGGGGCCACAGATCCGGCCAGGAGCCTGCTCCAGCATGAGCTTCCCATGGGATCACAGCTTCTTTGGGCATCCACCTGCTCTGGTGGGGGGGTCTTCCACAGGCTGTAAGTGAATATCTGCTCCACCATGGACCTCCATGAGCTGCAGAGGTACAGCCTGCCTCACCATGGTCTGCACCACATGCTGCAAGAGTATCTCTGCTCCAGTGCCTTGAGCACCTCCTCCCCTACTTCACTGACCCTAGTGTCTGCAGAGCTGTTTCTCTCATAGTCTCACTCCTCTCTCTGGCTGCAATTGCTCCTGCACAGTAACTTCTTCCCCTTCTTGACTATGTGATCCCAGAGGTGCTACCACTGTTGCTGATAAGCTCAGCTTTGGCCAGTAGTGGGTTTGTCTTGGAGCTGGCTGGCATTGATTCTATCAGACACAGGGAAAGCTTCTACCAGCTTCTCATAGAAGCTGCCCTTGTAGACCCCTCTGCCAAAACCTGCCATGAAAACCAAGAGTGCCGTGGTTTAAGCCCAGCTGGTAACTCATCACCATGAAGCCTCTCACTCCTCTCCTTTCTCCTGCCCCACCCCCCGTCTGCAGGCAGGAAGAGGGGGGAGAACTGAATGTAAACCCCATAGGTTGGGATAAGAACAGTCCAGTAACTAAAGTATAATATAAAACTACTACTACTAATAGTAATTATAAGGGAAGTAACAAGGGGAGAGAATATAATACTAAAAAGGAAAGGGGGGGGGGGGAAACAAAAAAACCCAAACCAATACACAAGTGATGCACAGTACAATTGCTCACCACCCACTGACCAATACCTAGCCAAACCCAAGCAGCGATCTGGGCTTTCTGGGTAACTCCCCCCAGTTTATATCCTGGGCATGACATGCTGTGGTATGGAATTCCCCTTTGGCTAGACTGGGCCAGGTGTCCTGTCTGTGCTTCCTCCCAGCTTCCCGTGCCTGTTCTCACTGGCAGAGCATGGGACTGAGAAGTCCTTGATTAGGGTAAGCATTATTTAGCAACAACTAAAACACTGGCATATTATCAGCATTGTTCTCAGACTAAAGCCAAACCACAGCACTGCACCAGCTACTAGGAAGAAGAAAAATAACTTTCCAGCTGAACCCAAGATACAAAGTAATACAAATTCCACTTTCTAGAGGTCTTCCTGCTTGAATGGAAGGGAATGTAATAATTTTGTTTATCCTATTATATTTCAAAGATTGTTAAACTCAGCAAGAGTATACTAAGCTATGGATGTTGACATTTCACAAAAATGACAAGTTTTGTTAACTTTAGTCTAGATTTTCCTTTTCTCTCCATTCAGCCCCTCTAATTTTTATTTTACAGTAACTCTTCTAGAGAAAGCCTTAATGTTAATTACAGGCTAAAGCTTATAAAGTAGCCAAAATTTCTCTCTTCAGTCTTTATAAAGCTTTTTTTTTACTAGTTGCCTTTAACATATTTGTTAGAATAAAATCCATAACCAACAGCAGAAAGGTTAACACAGCTTTCCAGAACAAACAAGCAAGGATTTTAACAATGAACATGAAAATCTCACCCAAAGTTCCTCTGAGGTTTACAATTCCACAAGCCAAGAACACTGAAGAGGGAAGGAAGCTGTAGCGTTCTGGAGGAACTGCAAAAGAGCATAAATTCAACAAATAATTCTGGATTTAAAATCATGGAGTACAGAAAATTAGATCCCTGGGGCAGTATCTTTTAGAGCTCTGCAAGCAGTAAGCCAGCAAAGGTAAGTTTTGCATTTCAGGTTGGTTTTGAAAAGGTCTTTCCACCAAGGCTCCGAAAGAAACTAATCTGCCACTAGAGAAATGTAAAGCCCTCTTACAGACAATCATCAGTTTAAAATAGGAAACGAAGGAGCAGTTAGTTTTGCAGTGGAAAAAAGGTCAGCAGAATGACCCTACAAAGATAACCTATACTGGGGCTCAGACTCTTCAACCTACAGGGGAGAAGAGGCAAATGTGAAACCAGAGCATTTGCTGATGATGAACATGAACTGTTTTTCAGAGCAATTTAATAAAAACAAAGGTCAACTGTAAAAAGGTACAGATGGATCTTATGACAGTGACAAGCTAATAGACTGCCAGATAAAATTCAGTGTTACTAGAAATAAAACTATGCACGTACAGAAAAAAAGTTATAGGCACAGGAGCAGATGCTAAGCCAATAATTACCATCCAGAAGACAGACAGATCTTCAAGTTTTGATAGTCTATGAAAACGTCATGCAAGTGTTCAGAATTGTTAGCCAAGAAACAGAGAAGAAAAGCAGGAGCTACCTACATACACCATACATTCATATGCAGTACCTGCTACAGTACACTTCTATGGCACATCTCATCCTCAGTGCTATACTCAGTTCTGCTCCACTTGATGTCTATTCAAAAGTGACTGAAAAAAGGTATCATAGCAGTCTACAGAATTATTAGTGGCACAGGGAAATGAATTATTGTTGTCTCTTATAAGAATAGGAAAAAACAAAGGAATCACAAAATCCCAGAGTGATTGAGGTTGAACAAGTCCTCTACAGGTCATCTTGTCTCACCGCACTGTTCCATCGCGGCCTCCTAAAGTCAGTTGTCCAGGACTATGTTCAGACAGCTTCTGAGTATCTCCAAGGATGAATACTCTACAACCTGTCTGGGCAGCCTGTGCCTGTGCTCAGTCACACTCACAATAGAAAAGCTTTCCTGATACTTAGGACAAACCTCCTGTGTTTCAGTTTGTGTCCATTGCCTCTGGTCCTGTCTGGTTATCACTGAAAAGAGCCTGGCTCTGTCCCCTCTGCACTCTCCCTATGGGTATTCATACACACTGGTAACATCCCCCTGAGCCTTCTCCTTTTCAAGCTGAACAGCCCCAGCTCTCTCAGGCTTTCCTCACAGAAGAGATGTTCTAGTCTCTTCATCATCTCTGTAGCCCTTCGTTGGGCTCTTCCCAGTATGTTCATCTCTTTAAACATATTTATGGCATGCAGCTCTGCACTCCGAATTATAAAGTTCAACAGAGCCTTAGATGACAGCACACATTATAAAAGCTCTAAAGAGGAAAAAGAGAAGAAAACAAACAAAAAAAAACCCACACCACAAAAATCAAACAAAAAACCCCACAATCCCACCCAACCCACCCCCCCAAAGAAAGGAAAAAAACAAACAACAAACAAACAAAAAAACAACAAAACCCCCCACACCACAACCCCCAAAACAACTGCAAATGTTCCAGTGTTCCAAGGCAAGGTAAAAAACAAACAAACAAAGTTTTAGAAAATACTGCTTTATCACAAATTGTCCTTCTAAACACAAGGACCCAGACCAGAAGCACATGTGTTCTGCACCATTTATTTAGTCAAAAAGATTGTGCTACCCTGCATTTCTCAAGCCAGTAGCATCCAGTATATAGCTAAGTAAAAAGGCCTCTCAGGTGTCTATATACTAACAAATCCAGAAAAAAGTGACTAAGAAAAATAGTTTCATGTATGTTGTCTCACTATCCCAGCTCTCTAAACAAATAGCTACCTCCTGTTCTGTGCTTTCTCCCCCCTCAGTGCAAAGCTTCCACGCTTTTCTGCACAGCATTAAGAGAAGGGGAGGATAATGAACTCATGCAAGCTGCTGCCTGGACCTAGCCAAGGGCATAAATTTGGGAGGCTAGTGTTAGCCATTTGACTGTTGCATAAGTCATCAGCCCTACCTTCTTTTCAAGAAGGAACAGAAGAGTGAGGGGTGATCAGCTGTTACAAAGACACCTAATCTAACAAGAGAACTGCAGGCTTTGGATCCCGGGTAGAAAGAAACTCTTGAGTGTTGCTCCTGTGCTCACTGCTTCCTGATGGTTTCCCAGCAGCACCCTTCTCTCTATTACTCTATTTATCACTCTGAGGTATGAAACCTCTCTGTGGACCGCATACTGAATCTGCATGCTCAAATGTTGTGCTGGAGTTACACTTATCTAACCTTGCAGGCAACTTGGTAACGCTTTTTCTTGGCTATCATCCTTCATAAAAGTAACTGACAATTCAGACGATAAATTCAAGTCATTTCAGTCCTCACTTGCTGTTCGAGAAAGACAGATCCTATCACTTCAAAGCCAGAGTCACTGCTGAATGGTAATCACATAGCTTGTAAAAGACAACCATGTTTTGGTAGTTTAAATGGATAAGCTTATTGATGGTCAAAGTACTCAAGCAAGAGGCAGACAGATACCTTTTTGTCACAGCATTCTCACTTTTGGAACATGTACTCTCACTGATTCTTTTCAGATGCAAAAAAAGCTTCACACAATCACTTTTTTCCATTTCAGTCCTGAAAATTACTGGGTATGCACATTTTCTCTCAAGCAAGGTTCTCACTCATATGCAACTTTCTTTTTATGGAACATAATAGACACAATTATTTCAATGAAGTACACACTTAAAGCTAAATAACACAAATTTCATTCATCAAATATAATTATTGCTAGAACTATGGTGTCCATTTTTAACAGCTTTTGAAGCTAAAAGGTTTCCGTTCAAAATTTGGATAGCATGCTCAACCAGAAACGGAAGATTAGATCTTACATGAAAAGCCAACATCAGTCAAAACCAGTAAGTCCAACATAGACAAAACAGGGAACATAACAGTGCCATAATAAGTTTATGTTTGATACAGATAAACACACTGTGAACAGCTGCCAAAATGTTCAATGATTTAACTGCTAAAAGTAAGCATACTTTCAGTACTGCCCAGCACCAAGTTCTGGTCCAGCACACAGAAATCATTCTTATTCAAAAAACCTGAAGCCAGCAATGAGTGGTACAGTGACCTTTCTTACTTCTCAGGGATGTTTTAAGTGGTCATAAATGGGAAATTTCTGCATGCTTTATAGTTGCTATCAATGGTTTTATTTCGAAGGCAAACTTTGGCAAAAACAATTGTTGCAGCATAAAAAAACCCAAACAAACCAACATTAAAAAATATTCTTAGGGGAAAAAGGGATAAAGTCAGCAACAGACAAAAAGGCCATGGGCTTATTTTGTTTTCAAAAAAAGATACCTGCTGGTAGAAAATACTAAAGTACCTACTCTGACACCCTATTATTGCAGAAAGCACCCCAGGACATACTCCACTCACAACAGGAATCAAGCACTGTTTCTTGTGCCATTAAGTAGAGGCAGGAATCTGTTGCAGTGGAGTCCCTTCTGCTAAAGCCAGTGCAAACAATGAGTCAGAGCACGAACCAGCAGGGACAGCGCTCTTACTCACCTAACTGTTCCTCCTAAAAGGAATTAGCAATTTTCAGTTTTAATACCTATTTACATATCCTAAATTGAAACTAATAAACCACACTGCATGAGCAGATGACCCATGAAACTATTCACAAGAGGCATTAGTTTAACTTAGGAAGTTATCCTTTTTTCCACTCTATATACACTACTGTGGAAATTTTCATAGGAAATTATTATGGGAAACAGCCACCTCTGCTTTCGGTCATTAAGTACAACTAATTGCCCTCTTGAGGGTATTTTTTCCTGTCCTTAATTCAGACAGGCATTAACTGTCAAGAAATGTCAGCCATGGGAATCTTCATGACTATTCTAAACCACAAATATACAAAAATATAAAGAATAATTATATTTTCTTAGCTCTTGAGAAAAAACATGTTCCCAATTTGTAGATCATATGAAAGGACTCATAAAGTTCTATATTTCTAGTGCTGTCACAATATTTCTCCTGACTTCTAACTTTCTCACTAGTGTAAAGGTCATATTAAACTATTGATGTTGAAGAGCTAACTAAATGCTGTAGTACCTAGAACAGTAACCATTGAAAACATTATTGAAAACACACTCTTTTAATTCATAGTCTTCACTAGTTATTAACATACAAGTCAGAAGCTTCCTAAATTTTAAGTCAACCTTGGGATTATACATGCTATCACTACAAGTGAGTTTGATAAATAAGAAAAAACTCCCAACATACCAATCCAGACTGGCTCCCATGTAGAACAGGAATCACAAGTCATCTTGAGTTTTCTGTTCAGCAAAGTACTCTCTTTCCAAATAACCTGTAAAAAAAAAAAAGATAAAAACCAAGTTGGTGACATATTTACAACTCAAGGCACAACAAGACCAGAATTGCAAAAGTTTTTCCTGTAACAAAACTATTTTTATTGGGAGAGGTAGAATGTGCTGTGTCTCCTGACAAAAGACAGCTCACACACCCCTTTCTTGGAGAAAGTATAGAACTTAGGCAGGATTAAGGCATCGAAGTTTCATCAAGCCAAAACGACCCTCAGCCATCTAGCCTCTGGAGCATAAGAATCTCACCATTTAATACCAACATTTGCCAGGACTGGAGCAAAACACTGTTTAGATCTCATTCAGATGCATTTATTTAATTCGTAGACAAGCACACAACAGTTAGGTGCCATAAATCTTACTGGCTCTGTTAAAACACATGCTTAGCCCCAAAGCCGCTCAGAAAAAATGTCATTTAAGTCCACAGGTGGCTACTGAACATCTTAAAGAAGCTATCAGCATAAAGATATCAGTATAAGGGTATTAGAAAATCAAAGGGCAAGAGAACAGGCACAGAGAAGAATAAACTATGAAAGTTTCAACGCAGGATCTCAGCACTTCCTCTACATACTCTTGCACCAATCAATCAGCACAAAGCTCTTATGCCTCAAGTTAAAATGATTTCTGTAACCTGGACTTAGCATGACTAAAAAGTTGTATATTTTATCACAACATACTTGTTGTTAACTGAGAACATAAGTTTTCAATGTAGCTTTTCCATATACTCTCAGAAGAAAGCCAGAAAATCTCAGTGAGCCTTGAAAGCTGAGCTTATGTCACACTAAAAGATCCCAGCAACCTGATTTATTTATATTGTTTATATATAATAAAAGGACAAATACATGGGACACACATACATTCACATGCTAGTTTTTAAAAGGCTATACAACTTTTAATTTTTTCCAGAAGCCACTAATAGAACATCTGTAAGTCACCTCCACAGTGGAGAAAAAGATGTCAGGATCTTTCAGGAACAAGTTTCTATGTAAATGCTCTACACAGGGGTGGGAGGACAAACCAGCCAAGGAGTGCAC